GCTTTTGGTGTCAGCTGGGAGGCCCAACCGCCCGGGGGGAAGCCCAAAGGGTTCAATGGAGATTAAAAAGGGGGCTTAAGCGGGGGGGCCGGGACGAGGCCCCCCTGGCCAAAAGAAAAGGGCGTGTGTGGTGGTGTGTGTTTATGTAGCATGGCCCGGGGGGCGGGCAAAAAAACTTCATTTTCAGAGCGGGCGAAAACAAAGACCCCTTTTAAAGCCCATGTTTTGGAAAGGGGCTTCATGGTAGAAACTGGGCTTTGTTTCGGGGGGGTTTCCTCGGTTTTCTTGAAAAGCCCTTTCCGAAAAACCAAAAAAAAAGACTTCATTTTGACTCCGGGCCATTTTTTTTTTTTGGGGGGGGGGGGGGTGGCAGTTTTTGTCTCTTGCCGCGTCCGGCGCCGGCGCCATCCGCTGTGTGACCGTTGAACACGCGCCGCACCACGGGTTGAAAACGCCGCCATAACTGTGTAAAACCCTGTTCCGCTGTTGAACCTCCTGGTTTTCCAGGCAAGCCGGGGGCTCCTACCGCGGCAGCGATCGCGAGAACTGCCGGGAGCGGCGGCGCCGGCGCCGGCGCCGGCGGGCGCGGAAGGAGCAGCCAGGTGTGCGTGTACGCGTGCGGTGGCCCCTTCGAGAGTGCTCGTCGCTCACGCCGTTTATCTAGCGCTGCTGTCATCATAGCTTTACAACGCTCCGAGATTCCATTCCGAAAGCCAGTAGCAGCAGCAGCAGTAGCAGTGGCACGGTCTAGGGTGTCAACGACGACAATAACCATGACAACGACAGACGGCAGCAGCAGTAGCGCATTCTAGGACGTCAACGACGACAACGGCCTGACAACACAACACCCGTTGACTGACCAGAAAATCCGACCACCGTGATGCCCCCGCCCGCAGCGGGTACGGCGGCAGGAGCATCCGCGGGAGACAGGGCAAAGAGGGGCAAGCTTGACGATCACTCTCAGCAGCAGCAGCAGCAGCAGCAGCGGCAGCAACAGCAGCAGCAGCAGCAACAGCAGCAGCAGCAACAACAGCAGCAGCAGCAGTACGAGAAAGTGCGGTTGGAGCGGGACGAGAAGCGGAAGAGGCTGGCGATACGACGGCGGCCGGCGTGGTGGCAGCCGCAACAAAGGGGCTCCCACAGGGCGGTACTCGCCCTACGGCCCGCGGACGCGTTGCCTGGAGCCACGCCAGGTATGTCTTGTGTGTATACCTGTGTGTGTTTTTTTTTTTTTATTGTAAGCATCGACCGCGCTAACCTTCTGACCAATGAACCAGTCTTGTAGCGGGATAAAAAACACTATTAATAGCACTTGTAAATACAAGGGTAAGATCTCTACCAAAAGTGTGTATGTGTTTTGTTTCTTGAATTGGGGCATCGACCGCGCTAGCGGTGTGCGTGTGTGCCTCCCGGTGCGTGGTTTTCTTGTTCGCGTCGCCCCCAACACGGCTAGCGAACCAGTCGGGCGTGCGACAACGCTAATAGAAAAAAAATAAGCGACCGCGTTGTGGAGTACATATCCTTCTCCTCGACGTGGAAGTCGTGCGTACTATATATAATAGCAGAGGAACCTCCCCAGGACAAGACGCCCCCCCCCCCCCCCCCCCGTGGGGGCCCCCGTT